TGTTCCGAGAAACTTCTAGGTGTGGAACCAAATTTAAAATGGCAGAGTCTTGTATTTTTCTCTAGAACGAAACTTTATATAAATAAGAGTGTAATGACAAACACGTATAGTTATCTAGGAGGTTTGTTAATTAAATGATGAGAAAAAAAAAAATGCAATGATCATTGGGTTTGGCAATGACATCGGTCTATCAAATGTGATAATAGTGTTCACTTGACGTCATTTAATAATTTAGAAAAATTTTCCACTTATTTTCAATATCTTTCGTATAATGAATATTAAAATCTCTTATTTCTTAATTTTAATTGACCTTTTATTAAATATCTCAATTATAATTTGCCTTCATTAATAACTAACTTCATTAGTAACACTCTAGTGAAAGGTACAATGTTGATAAACATTGTATATACAAAAAGCTTTATTTTAATTCTGTTGACATTGAAATGTTGCTAACATACATTAACTCAGCGATTAGCAAAAAGAACATTTAAGCACCCAACGAACATTTGGCTTCACGTTTATATACCTAACAACACAATGCAGGAATATTTCCTAAAAATTTAACAATTGATTTTGTCAAATGTAAACAAAGTGAATCGAAATAAATGGCGCAAATTTAATTAAACCGATCATTACATATGGGAGCTATGACCAATTATGGACCGATCGGAAAAAAATTTCATATTAATATTTCTATATATGAGGGCAATACTTGTACCAAACTTTATATGGATATTGTAATTTAGTAATGAGTTATGCGCGTTTAAGTGATTTTCGGGAAGGGTCCTTGTATGGGAGCTATGACCAATTATGGACCGATCGGAAAAAAATTTCATAGTAATATTTCTATATATGAGGGCAATACTTGTACCAAATTTTATATGGATATCTTAATTTAGTAATGAGTTATGAGCGTTTAAGTGATTTAGGAGCAATTTTTGCTCTCAATGAATTCTATTGACATAAGATTTTAAGTTGTAAAAGTTTTATGAAGATATCAACATTCTGACGGAAGTTATTAACCCATTAATGCCCACAGTTACATATACGTAACGCAAATTAATTCAAATTTGGACTCGAAATGCACAAAAATGGAAAATGCAAAGTTACTTTTTTCTGATGGATAGGTTAACTTAACATGTTCTTAACGATTATAAATCGAATTTGAGTAATTTTTGACTATAGAATTGTATTTTTGGGTTATTTTGTAAAGTGCCTATTTCGTAAACCTGCAAAAAGTCGTATTTTTCGTGGAATGAATTCTTAGAATGTTCTAACTTCTATGTAGTTAGTTTTTAAAAAAAGTTTCTGACGTAAACTTATAAAGAAGTAATTAATGTTTATTATCTAATTGTTTATAAATATATACCATGTCCTTGCGGAGACTTAGAAAGAGGATAATAAAGGTGTTACGTATATGTAACAGTGGGCAGTTCTCAGTACTTTTTGTCCCACTCTACATACGATATAAATAATAAACAACTTGCTTACTTTTTTATGAAATCTGCCTCAAAAATAGTTTTTTATCAGAGGAATGGGTTTTTAACGTAATAAAAAACAATATATTTTCTTGAAATATTGATATTTGATGACAAGCAATATATTTTTAATGTAAATGTTTCTATTAAATCGTCCTTTAGTGGATATTTTAAATTTTTTAAGAATTTCTGTAAAGGATATGCCATTTGACCGCATTAGAACTTGTTCAAGGCACAGTTGGCGAATCTTAAATATATATTTTTACTAGAAAATCGGAATATAAATGCAATTATCCTTAAAAATTAAACATGAGTTGAAAATTATGACCATTTTCTTGGGTTATTAGGGAAATTGCAAGGATACTAGCGCCAAGGACCTTTGGTAAATGTATGCAAAATGTGTAACGTTAGTCAATATATCTGTTGCTGCAAGAAAATATACAAATTTCTTTAAATTCATTAATTGACATTACAGAAATTACAAAATTTCACAAATTAAAATTTTATACTTTAAATAATTTTTTATTTTATATGAGAAAATTTTGTATGATACACCAAATTAGCTAATCCAAGCTTAAAATTTAATAATTAACCAGTTTTCTACGATTTTTTTGTAAAAATATGTAACTTTTACTTAAAATAATTAAGAGACAAAAATTCGTGGGTAATGCCCACTGTTACGTATACGTAACGTCTTCTAAAATCCAAACAAGGCAAGATAGAAAAATTTTTTAATTGAAATCGGTTTTTATACACAAGTAAACTGTCATATCCAAATTTCACATTTCTACCTTACGTAGATCGTCGTGGGCATTAATGGGTTAACAAAAAACTAATTTTCCGGGAATATGTACTTTTGAAAGGGAGGTATATGAAATTATGGACCGATTCTGGCAATTATCAGCAAGAATCAAGATATTGTGTAGAAACGAATATATGATGACTTTCATAAAATTATCTTGCATAGTTTTTGAGAAAATTGCATCAGAATGTGTAAAAAATGCTTATTTTTTCGGAGTTGTTTTAAATTCTGATTCATAACTTTTCTCGATGTGAACCGATTGCTCATTTTCAATACCAAACTGTACCGGATAATAGTGAATATTTTGGGTGAATTTGGTTAAATTATCTTGCTTCGTTTTAACGTGAGCGTGTTTTACACAGACAGACAGACAGATTGGCATAGCTAAATCGACTCAGAATTTCATAAGGACCCAGAATATATATACTTTGTTGGGTCTCAGATGACTATTTCTTGGTGTTACACACGGAATGTCAAACTTATATAAACCCTCTATCACCACTGATGGTGGTGGAGGGTATAATAATCAAAATGATTTATCTATGCACAGAACATACTCATGTCGAGTTTAATAATAAATTATGTGGCATTAAGTGGTTTTCAGAAGTGAACCTTATAAGGGAGCTAGATATGGAACGATGCTGAAAAAATTCCTTATATGGAATGTAACCAATTATGGACCGATGTGGAAAATGTTCACGGATGATTATACACAAAACAAATTCACGTCGAGTTTTACCCTGATAGCTTTATTTATCAATAATTATGCGCATTTGAGTGATTTTAAGATGTGGACCTTATATGGGAGCTAGTACCAATTGCGGACTGATCCGGAAAAAATTTCTCTAATTGATTTATATCTATATACAGAACATATTCACCTCGAGTTCTACCATGAAAACTTTATTAATCAATGAATTATGCGCATTTGAGTGATTTTCGAATGTGGACCTTATATGGGAGCTATGACCGATTATGGACCGATCCGGAACAAATTTCCTAGAGTAATTCATATACACACAAAACACATTCATGTCGAATTTTATCCAGATAGCTTTATTTATCTATGAATTATGGTCGTTTAAGTGATTTTCGGATGTGAACCTTATATGGGAGCTATGACCAATTATGGACCGATCCGGAAAAAAAATCCTTAGAATGATTTATGTATATACAAAACATATTCATGTCGAATTTTTTCCCGATAGCTTTATTTATCAATAAAATATGTTCATTTAAGTGATTTTCGAAAGCGGACCTTATATGGGAACTATGACCAATTGTGGACCGATACAGATCTAAGTCCGTAGTTTTGATTCCTGTTCATATAATGTCAATATGTACAAAATTTAGTGTTGATGCCGATATATTTCAGGAAGTTATTAACGATAAATTAATTTCCGGGAATATGTACCTTTGTATGGGGGCTATGGGAAATTTTGGATCGATTGTTACAATTTTAAACATAAATAATCTATAGGTGGAAAAAAGAAACTGTGACAAAATTTTTCGAATTATCTTTGGTAGTTTCTGAGAAAACTACTCATGAATTAGGGAAAAAACTTAATTTTTTTTAGGTAGTCTGAAATTTTTACTCATAACTTTTTACGTTGTGAACCGACTTTGCTGATTTTCAATACCAAACTGCTTAGGAAAACAATTAATATTCTCAGTGAATTTGGTTGATTTCATTTGCTTATTTTTAACGTGAGCGTGTTTTAACCAGACAGACAGACAGACAGACAGACGGACATAGCTAAATCGAATCAGAATTTCAAAAAGACCCAGAATATATATACATTGTTGGGTCTCAGATGAATATTTTTTGGTGTTACACACGGAATGACAAACTTATATATACCCTCTATCACCACTGATGGTGGTGGAGGGTATAAAAATCCCACTTAACGATTTTGAAGATTCTAACTACAATAGTTTTCCAGATTTATAATACGTTACATATGAGAGATGTCAAGCAAACTATTGCGAGTTCGCCAGTTTCTATCTATCGCCAATTTCTATCTATCTATAAAAAATTTGAATAATAGAAGAATTTCCAAGATGCACGAAATCGTGTATTTAATCTATATATGTTGTGCCAAGCCACCCATTAAAAGTCCGCCCCTTATGCTCTAAATGTTCACATGAATTTCAAAGTTCTTCATGTAAAATTTTAAGATTCTAGCTCTAATAGTTTCTCAGATATACGAATTTTTCTAATTGATTCATGTGGGGCTTCAAGCTCCCCACATTGAGAATTTTGGAATTTAAATTGAGAAAACTCCAATTAAAATTGGGAAAGTTTCAAATGAAATTGAGAAAATTTTAAATGAAATTAAGAAAATTTCAAATAAATTTGAGAACCTTTTATTTATATAACACATTTTAAAAAACAAATAATAAAGAAATTCCAATGTTAATCCACAGATTGTCGAGGAACAATGGCTGGTTTATCATGAATACTATGTAAGAATATCACTGAAGCGATATGTGTTGGTAGTCTGAATACGTCAAAGAAAAATATTAAAATGTGGTCTGAATTTCCCGCTGATTAGGTTAAAAGTTCAGATCCCAGTAAAAAGTATAAAAAGTTTCGCAGAATTTTTTGAAATGATTGTCAAAATTTTCAAATTTTAAGCTTTCACGGAACATTCATGTATTGCATTACATACATATATATGTATATACATATATACATTCCTTCGCGAAGGGTAGTCATCTTGACGCGATGCGAAGGCTTAAGTGTAATGACCCATGCAGGCCGTGCTGGATAGGGACACCCACACCAGAGGGGCTCATGGCGAGCACTTACTAAGAACTACCCCCCCCAAATCTGATAGCGTCTGTTTTTCCCCTTTGGGGCGGCTATCAGATATCTTGGGTCTGCCGGGTGTTTTTCCCTTTTCGTGGCTGAGAGGGCACCCGGTAGTACCGGTCCGTTCTTTTTGGTCCTTTTGGACCCTGTCCTTTAGAACGTCCGTCAAATCCACCAGCGTCTGTTTTTCCCATATTGGGCGGCTTGGTGGTCTGTCTTCTCCACGTGGCGAGGCAGCTTTCTTAAACTTGGCAGTAAGTATAAAATGCAAACCTTAAAATGTCCAAATGTCCGAAAAAAAGACGTGCCCCATGTATCCGGTCGGGGGCCTTACAATCTCCGGAGAACCTATTCCCGCGGCGGCGATTTCAGGTCGCGGTGAATCGAATGCTACTGAGATCCGGGCTAGTCTGGCGGCGACACCGGGCCAGACTAATCCGCGAGCTACCGGCAACCAAAAACCGGCAGGAAAGGAGGAGGGGAAACCCAAATCCAAAATCTGCCAAAATAAAGCACCCCCTAAAAAGGGTTGCACCAAAAATGGTGGCGAAGTACCTCTGTCTCTCACCCCAAGTACTTCAAAGGCTGCCCAGGCCCTGACCGATGAAAACTCGGCCAATTCCCCTGCTTCGGGTGCTGCCAAGGCAGTTAACCCAGTGCCTGTCGTGAGCAATAGTACTGCGAACCAGATTTCGGGTACCATAGCTACACCTCCCCCCGCCAGTGAAGGAACTGCGAACTCGATTTCGGGTTCCCCAGCTGTGCCTCCAGTCCAACCGGGCGATAGCAAACCCTCAAGGCACGTTACACCTGCAAGAAGGGCCTTCATTAAACGGCGCGCCGCCGAGAAAATTATTGACCGGTTAGGTAAAGAGCCTGCCGAGTCCCTCTCTTCCGATGACTTGTCATCGCTTAACTGGGCTAAATCCGTCTTGGCTGACCAACAAATTCTCCCCCTCACGTCGAAAGACGCGCCTAAACGGCAACGTTCGGAGGAGGAGACACAAGGTCAGTCGCAACAGCCCGAGTCAAAGAAATTGAAGCAGCACAGGTCGTTTGATAGGTCCTTCAGCGAGGTAGCCAAGGGTCACCTCGTACGTGCCATCATCGACCGTGCGGATTCTGACTGCTCCATATCTCATGCAAACTGAGATATGGTGCGTAGAAAGCTGATGGGAGTGTTCTGGCGAGTTCTCAAGGAGAACCCAGGTCCCCCCCCCTCAGTGCGATGATGCTGGTTGGTACCGTGGTCGGGTAAAGCTAATGGCCTGCTCAAATGAGCGTTCTGCTCAGCTACTTAAGCTGGCGATAGCTCTTTTGGATGGCCTGTGGGATGGAGCGAAGCTGGATGTGGTCTCTGTTGACGAGATACCACGCCGGCCTAGGTCCACTGCCCTAGTTCCCGACGAACCAGCGAAGCCAGAGGAGATATTGGAGCTCCTGAAGATCGGTAACCCTGAAATCCCCACACATGACTGGAAGGTAGTCAGGGTATCCGAATCTGAAGGACACTCCAGAAGGATCACCGTCATTATGAACAGGGAGTCCTTAGCGCCGCTTCGGGAGAGACGAGGAAAGGTCTACTACGGCTTTGAGTCGATCTTTCTCCGTGTCTACCGGGGTGACGATAAGGATAAAACTGTACAAAATGGCGAGGATCCGGCTCCGGAAGAGATGTCGTGCGACGAGGCTGCCAGTTCAATCGCCGAGGAGGACTCTACAACCAATTCACAACTGGTTGGTGAGTTCTTCGAGGGGGTTGAAGTGACAGCCGACGGCGACGAAACGGTTGACGAGGACGACCTCCTGAAATCCGATCAAGAGGACGTCAACGTCACCGTTATACACGTCTCGAAGAAGAAGGATGGTGAAGGTCACGCAAATTAACCTTCACCATTCCAAAGCAGCTTCGGCTGCCCTGCTCCTCCGGATGGCAGAGAGAGGGGAGGAGCTTATACTGGTCCAGGAGCCCTGGATCCACCGTGAAAGGGTTTGCGGACTTAGTATCAAAGGCTACAAGCTTTTATACATGAATGGTACAGGTAGGATTAGATCATGTATACTTGCCAAAAGCGATCTAAAAGTCTTCATTCTCTCTGATTTCAGCGATGAAGACACAGTTGTAGCGGCCTGGGAGACAGGTTCGGGTACCCTTTTAGTGGTATCCAGCTACATGGCCCATGACCACTGCGAACCACCGCCAAACAAAAAGGTTCGCGATATTATAACCAGGGCAAATAATGAAAATTTGCCGATAATAATTGGGGCTGACGCCAACGCACACCATGCTATATGGGGCAGCTCGGATACCAACGCAAGGGGTGAGTCGATTTTTAACTTTATTCTCTGCAATGGTATTGATGTAGTAAATACAGGCTCGGAACCTACCTTCGTGGTGATAAACAGAAGGGAGGTTTTGGACATTACGCTAGTTAGTTCTAAGCACTTTAATATGATCAGGGAATGGAGGGTTTCAAAAGACTGCTCCTTTTCTGATCACATGTATATTGACTTTATAATAGAGGTCAGGGAAACGAAGGCTATGCCTATTCGAAATAGGAAAAGAACGGATTGGACAAGACAACATGAGATCTTATCCAACCTTCTTTGGCAACTACCGAACATACAGAATCGGACTGATATTGAGAATGCGACTAACGCACTTACAAATGCGTTCGACAGGGCAATCTCGGAATCTTGCAGACCAAAGGTCTGTAAAGGCAAGAGTAAACCACCATGGTGGTCCTCTGAAATAGCAGACACTCGTAAAGCGTGTCGCAGATTGTTTAACGAGGCCAAGCGACTAGGAAACTGGTCGGAATATAAAGCCTCAGTGAACAGGTTCAAAAACCTGGTCAGAAATGCAAAACGCAAGTCTTGGATATCCTTCTGTAGCGGCGTGGAAGGATCTTCTGAGACAAGCCGCTTGCGGAAAATATTGTCTACTTCGACGGTTGTTCCTAGCTACATCCAAAAGGACTGTGGCACATGGACAACTTGCGGAAAGGAAACCCTAGAAGTTCTCCTTGACGCCCACTTTCCTGGAAACTCGCCTCTCACGATGGAGTTTTCCGATGAACTCTCTGATACGCACATGGAGGCAGACAATCTCATTAATGAGGAAAAGCTAAAATGGGCCCTCGAGAGTTTTGACCCGTATAAATCACCGGGTCCTGATGGCATAATACCTGCTGATCTTCAGCACAACGAGGATATCATAATCCCCTGGCTGACTAGAATCTACTCGGCCTGCCTAGAATGGTCCTACATTCCTGAATCTTGGACCAGATGTAATGTGGTCTTTATCCCCAAAGGGGGTAAGGCCTCTCATACAAAACCGAAAGATTTCAGGCCAATTAGTCTGTCATCCTTTCTCCTGAAAACCTTGGAAAGGATTATCGACCTGCATATTAGGAGTACGATCGATCCCGACCGTTTATCTGCATCTCAACATGCCTATATGAAGGGCAGATCTGTTGAAACTGCCCTCCACTCGCTCGTAGGTTTTATAGAAAAATCCCTCGAGCACAGGGAATATGCATTAGTGGCCTTCCTTGATATTGAAGGGGCCTTTAATAATGTACTACCAGATTCAATTTTATTGGAACTGACTAGGCTGGGTGTTACCCAGCCGATCACCCAATTCATTAGTAGGCTTTTGACGAATCGAGTCATAATTTCTACAATGGGAAATGCCACTGTTTACAGAATGGCGAAGCGCGGTACTCCACAAGGAGGGGTCTTATCACCTCTCCTATGGAATATTGCAATTAACCCACTGCTCATGGAACTCGATTCTATGAAGTGCAAGACTATTGCATATGCGGATGACGTGGCGGTTGCTGTCTCTGGCAAGCATCTGACCACTATCTCACAATGCCTACAACAATCACTGAGCCGACTGAGTCGTTGGAGCTACAACAGTGGTCTCAGTGTTAATCCTGGGAAGACCGAACTTGTTCTATTCTCTAATAGATACAAGATTCCTTCCTTCCCTCTTCCTCGCCTGAATGGGGTGGAGCTTAAACTCTCCGACAGTGCAAAATACTTAGGTATCATCCTTGATTCTAAACTACTATGGAATCTTAATATCAAAGCGAGAGCCTCTAAGGCATCTATCGCGATGTACGCATGTAGGAAGGCCATTGGTAAGAACTGGGGAATTAGTCCCAAGTCTGCAAAATGGATTTTCGACATGGTTATAAAGCCTATTCTGATGTATGGTGCGCTTGTCTGGTGGAAAGCTTTGGAAAAATCCACCTATTGCAACCATACTGAGGGAATAATGCGAGCTTCAGCACTAATGATCACTGGTGCGACTAGAAGTACGCCATCGCAGGCGTTGTTTACACTAATGCACTGGTTGCCTGCCGATCTGATGGCCAGGCAACTGGCATTAAACTCGGCAGTCAGACTTCATGCTGCCGGAATATGGAAGCCAAACCGATATGGTCACGCTTCTATCCTGGGGTGCACGAGTTACATCCCCGAGAATATCGATTACTGCTCTCCCACGACCCTTCCGGACAAAAAATTCACAGTTAAGATGTCAAACGAACCATCCTTCTCAGAAGGTGAAACACTTGACATCTTTACTGATGGATCTAAGTCCACTAAAGGCGTGGGTGGTGGTTTCTTTATCCCCCGCTTAAACAAAGCGGTATGTTTTAGGCTGAATGACTACTGCAGCGTCATACAGGCTGAAATCTCAGCCATAAAAAGAGCGGTTAACTGGATGAGGTACTATAGGATATGCAACGGTAATATCCGAATCTGTACTGACAGTAAACCTGCCATTAAATCTCTATCTGGTGTCTATACGACATCCAGACTGGTTCGCGAATGTCGGGTGTCTCTTGACGAGATGGCGAACCATTCGTGCCTGGAGCTACTCTGGGTACCGGGTCACTCTAATATTCCCGGAAATAGAAAAGCGGACGAACTAGCAAAAGCCGGTTCACGCCTCAACACATGGGATACTGACACACTGGTTGGTATTCCGCTTTCATGCTGTAAGGCCTTTATTCAGCATGAACTATATGGGTCTGCGCAGACCAGATGGTCATCACTGACCTATTGCTCTATATCAAGAATGACCTGGCCTCTCTATGATGAACGAAGGTCTTTTTGCTTGATGGGGCTTTCAAGGATGAGATTACGTATATTGGTATCCATCCTAACAGGGCACTGTACTATAGGTGCGCATGCAAGAAGATTAATTCTTCCATACAATGATTTCTGCAGGAGCTGTCAGAGCGAGGATGAAGAGGAAACTGTGGAACACTTCCTCTGTCTCTGCCCCGCCCTAGCAAATATCAGGACTGAGTTTCTAGGCAGTCCAATACTGCATGAACTTGCGGCTCTATCAAATATTGACGTATATAAGATAGAATCGTTCATTCGTGCCTCAGGCTGGTTTAATACCATATCGAACACGGACATGTAATGTCCCATAGGTTTTGGTTTTCCTCTCGTAGGATCCGCTATAGGGTATCACAACGGGACCATAAGGACCCAAGTGAGTCGGTCGAAGGACCGACTGCCTCAACAACCTAACCTAACCTATATATGTACATATATATTTATTTGCAAATTAAAAATTTTCTGAAAATCATTTGGAATTTTCTCAATTTCATTTGAAAGTTCCCCAAATTCAATAGGAATTTTCTCAATTTCAATTCAAAATACTCCATTTCAATTGTACTTTTCTAAATTTCAAATGGAAATTCGCATTTTCATTTAGAATATTCTCAATTTGAAACTGAAGACCTCAAATTTAATTGAAATTTTCTCAATATAAAATGGAAATTCTTAATTTTATTTAGAATTCTCTCAATTTAATTTAGAATTTTCTCAACATCAACGTAAAATTCTCAATTTTATTTGGATTTTTCCCAATTTTAAATTAAAATTCTAAATTTGATTCAGAATTTTCTCAATTTCAAATTGAAAATCACAATTTTAATTGGAATTTTCTTGATTTGAAATGGAAATTCTCAATTTCATGTGGATTTTTCTCGATTTAATACGTAATGTTCTCAATTTCACTTAAAAATGGTGTAGACTATAGATTAGACTATATACTACACCATTTTAAGTTTAAATTGAGAAAATACAAATTCATATTGAGAATTACAAATTAAAATTTGGAAAATACAAATTAAAGTTCAGAAATTTAAATTAATATTGAGAAAAACTTATTTGAAAATGGGAAGTCCAAATTAATATTGAGAAATAATAAAATTAAATTAAGAAATGCAAATTAACATCGAGAAAACACTAATTGAAATTCAGAATTCCAACATTATATTAAGAAATTACAAATTAAAATTGAGAAATTAATAAATGATAATGAGATATTTAAAATTTGTATGAAATTATACGAAAATACTTTTTTTTATAAATCTTTTAAATAGGATATGTATTTAAAATGTTATAAATTTCAATACAAAATTATTATTACCAATATTAATTTAGGTTTTCGTAATATCATTTTGTATTTTATCAATTTCAATTTGTATTGTCTCAATATTAATTTCGATTTCTCAATATCAATTGGTTTTTTCTCAATATTGAGTTGAAATTTCAAATTTCAATTTTTTTTTCTTAATATTAATTTTGATTCCTAAATTTAATTTTGTTATGTCTCAACATTAAATTGGATTTCTGAAATTCATTTTGGTTTTTCGCAATACAAATTTGGATTTTCTCAATTTAACCTTGAAATGGTGTAGTATATAGTCTAGTCTATATATATATATATATAGTCTAGACTATAAAGTAGAGTACAGACAAGACTATAGACAAGACTATAGACTAGACTTTAGACTAGACTATAGACTAGAGTCTAGTCTAAAGTCTAGTCTATAGTCTTGTCTATAGTCTATTCTATAGTCTAGTCACTAGACTATAGAATAGACTAGACTATAAACTAGAGGGGCATTTCAAAAAATTTCGAGCAGGTTTTGTACTTTACCCTCTCCGATTTCGATGAAATTCTTCATGTAAATACGGAATTTGAAATTCTCCAAAATTTCTATACTTATATATTGTTGAGTACACAATAAGCAATCTTATGTGAAGGAATAAAGAAAATGGAAGGTAAATTTTTTTAGAGATATCCTTGACTAAAGGACGTTGTTTGATGTCATCATCCTCACGTTAAAAATGTAATATTTTAAATAAAATATTGGGGACTAAACGATTGAAATCGGATAAATAATTAAGAAAATATACGTGAAATTTAATACTTGTTGAAAAAAATTGAAAATCCAACTTTTTTGTTCGAAAATTTTTGAAATTACCCTATATATAGTATGTT